CTTTTTAAACAGGGGCCAGTTCACTGTCCTCAGACTTTGGAGGGCCGGATTATAGTTTAAAAAAAAACTATGAACAAATTCCTATGCACACTGCACATATCTTATTTTGAAGTAAAAAAACAAAACGGGAACAAATACAATATTTGTATTTGCATGTGGCCCACGGGCCGTAGTTTGAGGACCCCTGCCCTAACTGCTAAACCTAAACCTAACCCTAAACCTAACTACTAACCCTAACCCTGTCCATATCCCTAACCCTAGCCCAGGATAAGGTCTGAGTGACAGGTGACTCCATCTTAACCCTAAACCTAACTACTAACTACTAACTCTAACCCTAACCATAACCGTTGTCACGTTTTTCTGGAACGTCTGTGTCCAGGGAGTGAGCCGCCTTGTTTGCGGGGTTGGCTCTCAGCACCTCCTGTGTCACCTCAGGAATCGAGGGTGTGCTCAGCGGGGGAGGCAGCCAGGCCAGGAGTGTCTGCCAAAGGAGCGGATGGGAGAGCGTCACCTCTCGCTGTGAAAACGGTCCTGGCGCCAGCCCTCCCCTGCCGCGGGTTGGGGTGCAGAGGTCGAGGTGCAGAGGGCTGGCCCTCCCCTGCCGCGGGGTCGGGGTGCAGAGGTCGAGGTGCAGAGGGCTGTGGGCGAGCGAGACCGTCCTCTGGTGAAGACCCTGCCTCCCTGACTAGCGGGCAAACCTGCCCTGGGGGTCTGAGTGCAGAGCAAACACGGACAAGGCGTGGGGGCCTCTTCCTGAGATTGTGGGGGTCCCAGTGAGAACGGCCCCCACCAGCTCCCAGGAAGTCTGCCCACTGGCCCTCAGACGGAGATGCTCAAGTTACTCTCAACAAGGTGTTTTCTGTCCTAAACTGATCTGTTTTCTTATGGGGAGAATACATAAAAGGGGGAAATAGAGACAACACTCCATGCCCAGTATTCCTACAGAAAACTTTAGGGCATACACTGTGCACAGGTTTCATATCCAATCTTCCACTTCGCATAACATCCTGGTCTCTTCCCCATAGCCTTAAATCTTAATAATAATAATAAAATAATATAATGGCTGAGTAATAGTGTCTGGTGGATGGTAACAGCTCTAATTCCTGGACATACAGGCTCCTCCCAAATGTGGAAGTCACTCCGAACGCGGGAGCCTCTGAAATCAGCCTCCGCGGGTCTGGCTGGGGAGCCCTTGCAGAACCAGGAAAACACCCTAAAAGCCACCTGGTCCGAGGCGCTCCATTAACTGTGTCTTACAGTTACATTTTGGTTCGAGTTACATGTTTTAATTCATAAATTTGAATATGATTTAATGCTTATTGAATATTTGTACTTTAGCTACTTATCTTCTTTGCCCGTGACTATTGTTAATTATTTTCTCACTGTTTTGCATGAGCCTTTCACACAACAGTAACGGTAACTCTGTGATACTTTTCACCAACACCTTCCGATGTGCTGATAGGCAGTTTTCGCGTCTCTGTGGTCAGCCCCAATAATCGTTTATTTATTAGCCTATCTTTAAGCATTTATAGGTACAAAGCCCTCTTGCTTTTGTTATTTTTGCATAACTGTTAACTGCATGTGGAACTTATTTGGTCTATGGGGAGAGCTGGGGATTACCTTTAATTTTTTCCACATGGTTGGTCCTAACATCATTTACTGACTAATCTCATTTTCCTCACGGCCTTTACCAGGGACGAGTATTAACTCCACTGGGGTCTGTGGTGGAGGCGTGGGTAGAGCTGTCACCTGGTGATGGTTTCATTTGGTGACTGACATTTTTTCTTTTCCCCCTCAACGATATAATGCTTTTAATACACTTCTTTCTCAGGTGTTCTGGGCTGGATCGACCTGCCAGGATTTCCTGAGAAGGAGCACCCAGGCTACGCACGGCTCGTTTGAACTGAGCAGCCGCCCCGTCTCTCACATTCAGAGTCAGGTTTACGGCTGTTCCCTGGGAAAATGCTCTTTAGCTTTTGTGTTTGCTCTTTTTAATATATTTTTTTTATTGATCTCAGAGGGGAAGGAAGAGGGAGAGAGAGATAGAAACATCAATGAGAGAGAATCATTGATCGGCTGCCTCCTGCACGCCCCACACTGGGAATCGAGCCTGCAGCCGGGGCACGTGCCCTGACCAGGAATCGAACTGTGACCTCCTGGTTCCTAGGTCGACGCCCAACCACTGAGCCGCGCTGCCAGGGCCAAAAATGCTCAGAGGAGCAAACGAGGGCGGTGGAGACAGAGCGAGGGCCTCGCTGGGCCACATTGACAGAAAGTTGATTCGTGGTCGGTCACCCTCTTAGTAAAGGCGTCTGTTCGCTTGGCTGGAAGCAATGGCTTGCACTGAGCTGCGTCCGTCTCCGTTGCTCCCTGGCAGAGGGACACCGGACGTGTGACAAGTAGCTGCTCATAAGAACAGGCAGCAAAGGGTGTGAGCGCCACCTGTCGCTTTATCCCTCGGTTCTCGGTGTGCTGCTGTCACCCCATCTGCGCAGTGCGGCCTCCAGACGGGACACCCTCCCAGCTCCCACAGGGCAGCTGGCTGCGGGCAGCCGTCCACACCCTCAGAAACGAACACTCCCCCGTGTCTCCCCTGAGGCCGGCGTTGGCCAGGACCTTCCAGCAGCTCTCAGTTCAGCCTCTCGCTTCCCGGGGCGTCTTGCTTCGTGAGAAGTCCTTCTAAGACCCAGGGACAAAAGCTCCCCAAAGCGGGAAGCAGATAAAAAGCAATAGCACAGAAGACGAGGCTGCGGGCTTCTCCCCTCCCCCGCCCCATCCTCTCATTAGTTTAAGTTCTGACTGATTTAAACACTTGTTACACTTTCCTGGAAACATAGAAGTTTAATTTGGAATATGGTCCCGGAGCAAAGCTTCTGCTAATGAGTGGGCCTGACTGAACAGGAAGCAAGGAAGAAAATACAAATTTTGGAAGAAAATAAGCCATTTCACAATGTTTCCATTTGCTCCAAATCCAACTTCATTGCTTCAAGGGGCAGCCTGGAAACTCTTCTCATGAAAGTGCAGTAAATACTCCCGGAGACGTCTGTTCTCGGGCCTGCAAGAAACGGGTAGAAATGACAGATTTCCTAGAGCAACTTGTGGGAGATTTGTGTTGGTGATACCTGTTTTAAACTCATTCTTCCCTCCAGCTAAAGCACAAATCATGCCACCATGCAGAACAGAGCAGTGAATTACTGCTTCTTTAATAAAAAAAAGTGTATGTACATTGTCTTTGTGGTTGCGGTTGATGGTGTGTGAATACCTGTGTGCTTTGGATACATTCTGGGATCATTTAAAAAGCTATTGCAAAATCCTTCCTCCCCATTAGAAATTCTGATTTTTAAAGAAAGGAAATTCTGATTTTGCACCATTAATTGGCATTTTCAACATGCCAAGCGCCCAGTTTGAAGTCTACACATAAAACCGAGGCCAGAGGCCTGCACGTAACACGTCCTAAGCAGCTCGTTACACTGATAAGCGTCACACAGTGTAACACGGGCTCCTCCAGGCGCCCTCGCGGCCATTGTCCCGAGTCACCAGGTCACCAGGTGAGACTCCTGGGCTGGGAGCCCCAGGCATTTACCCTCCTGACGGGTCACCCCGGGCCTGGCTGGCTCAGGGGCCAGCTCCAGCCTGCACACCCAGTGGCCGCACACACAGGGTCAGGCGGGAGGGGCAGACTCAGGGACTCGGCCAGGGGGTGGGAGGGGGCCCCAGGGCGACCCAGCACGGCCAGGGCTGGCCTCACCCTTTCCTGAACCCCTGGGTCCCAGCGCAGCCCCTGGCTCTCCCAGGCCACGTCCTCTCCCAGAACCAGTTTCCCAAGAGCGGGCCTCTCCGAATCGAGGGTTTGAGACGAATGCTCACCGCCCTGGCGCGTTGTCTTCTAACAGTTCTCGGCACGAGGGCCCCATCCCCCGCCCGGGCCTGCAGGCGCCCTGGTCTCTGCCCACCGTCAGGGCCCAGCGGCCTTGGCTCTTCGGATGCGCCAGCCACGGTGCCCGCTGCGCGGCTCCTTCAATCCCGGGACCGTTGGGGGCGGAGGCGGCCCAGTCAACAGGGGGACGATGCGCCTGGAGCACCCGGGGCGCGCAGGGCTCGGGCCGGGGCGCGGACAGCCGTCCCAGCTTCAGCTCCTTCTCCTCTCACCGGCCCGGGCGCTCCCATCCGCTTCTGCAGGAGGAAAACGGGCGGAAAGGCATTCGGGCCCATGTGGGCCCAGGACAGGCGCCCGGCCGCCTCTGAGAACGCGGGGTGCGCACAGCGAGTTCGAGGCTCCCACAGCAGGGCTCCTGGGGTTTCACCCCCCTAACCCCCCCCTCCCGCCACCCCGAGGCTGCGAGACCCCGGCCCCTTGCGCTCCCCCTGCAGGGCCCGACCCGGGCGCCCCGTTCCCACGCCCCCAGATCTGGGAGGAGTGGGTGGGTGACTGGGGGTGACTGATGCCCGGCTGGTGAACCTCGAGGGGCGCTGAGCGAGAGGCGGAGGCTCCACAGCCAGGGGCGCAGCGCCATCGCGTGGCCGGGACGTGCGCTCCGACCTCCACGTTGGAGGGAGCAGGGAATGGGGTCCCTTTGGGGAACATCCTGGGCGGCAGCTGGGGGCGCAGGCGCCCCTGTAGCTGCAGCAGGAAAAGGAAGGGGGGGGCCCTGCCTGGCGGGGTCGCCCCGAACTCACAGAGGGAGCAAGGCCCCCTCTCCTGGTGGGGCCGGGTTTGTCCTGGAGAAAGAGGCACATGCATCCGGCAAAGGGCCCGAACCCCCTGCCCTGGGGACGTGCGGGTCCCTGAACACGGCGAGGCCGTTCCTCCTGGAACATCGTTTGAAAATCGTGGTTATAGCTGACGGACAATAGCGACGTCTCAGGAACCCCACGGAGCGACTGGACTTGACAGAAGGGCCGGCCCACATGGCCCCATTTTATGGCAAAAACGTCATGAGCACCTACTGTGCGCCAGGACCCGAGGGGGAGCTGATGGTCCAGGTGGCTGGGCAGCACCGAGGGCGTCCGCAGAGGTGCTGGGCCCCAGATGTGTGACAACAGGGACAGCGAGGTGCTCAGGACGACAGGCCACCGCTGCACTGAAACAGCCATCAGACTATAAAATGCTCGGTAGCCACGTCCTCTAATCTATGAAGTCACAGGTCCTCTATGAGGTCACAGGTCAGGACGACAGGCCACCGCTGCACTGAAACAGCCATCAGACTATAAAATGCTCGGTAGCCACGTCCTCTAATCTATGAGGTCACAGGTCCACAGACCCGCGTCCTCACCACAGGCCTTTCAGACGGAGGAGACGGTCGGTGTGTTGAGTATCAGCGCCAACCGCCCCGCGATCGGGAAGGAGCTGCGCTCCTGCAGGTGCGAGTCCCCCACTGCGATGTGTTGAAAACGCTCCATCCGTCAGAGGTCAGTGCGAACAAGGAGGGCCATGCCCCCCATCCCCATCGAGGGGCCCCCAGCTTTTGTCCGCAGACCCCTGGGTTAGGAAGCCGGGCGTGGGCGGAACAAATGATACAGAAGCAGGTGCATGGACGTTCTGACGACAAACCGGAAGGACAGTCTGGGGTCAGCACTGTGTGAAGGAGCCTGGTGCAGAGGGAGGCAATGGCCACCAGGGGGCCCAGTTCAGCCCGTAAACCCACCCAGTCTGTACACTTGACCCACCTGCTAAGGACCCCAGTCCGAGCCCCACCCCCAATTCTAAACCCAGTCAGACTCATTTCTGTACCTGCCTGGGTCCTGGCACTTGAATTTGCAATGTTGCCGCTTGGGGCAACCCCGCCTGACAACAGCCATCAGCCCGGGGAGTCGAACCTCCCGGAGCTGAACCTGCCGCCGAAGCTCAGCATCGGGGTCCTTCCAGGCCTCCACCCGCCGTCCATCCCACTGTGACCCGGGGTCACTCCTAGGCCAGCAGGGATGGCACCTGTTCCCACCACCGGTTCCACCGGCGGCAGCACCACAGGCCGCGTTTTGGGGTGGCTGGGAGCTCAGGGCTGGGTCAGAGGTGCCGTGTGGCTGGGTAGGAGCCAGCGTGGCAGGCTTGCGGGGTGATGTCAGAGCTGGCACCGGCAGGGAACAACTCTGTTGACAAGAAGATTAATCAGACAAACGCGGTGCCCATCAGTTACCGCCTCCTCCTCGGGGGTCAGCTCCAGTCAAGCCTTTGCTAGGTTTTTTTCCAATCTTTTTAAAAGAAAGCTTAATCCTCTAACAAGGCAGCCAGCACCCAGCTCATGGCGTGCCAGGGGGCAAGTCCCTGCAAGCAGGTTCTGGGAAGGGTTCCTGGAGCCGCGGGGCCTCGGGCTGGCACAGCCGAGCCGGGCGGGCCTCCTACCTGCACAGACCCAGCCCCGGAAGCTGGGCTCGGAGCCCCCACCAGGGACGCCGCTGCGAGCTCTCCTGGTCGCTCCCTCTCTGCCGCCCACGGGTGAGCGTCCCTTGAGGGGCTGGCAGTGGCCACGCTGGGCCTACACCTTCCCTCATTTCACATGTCCTTTCTCCAACACGCCCGCCCCACTGTCCATTATGAGACGTGGCCTCATCCTTCGTCCGACAAACACACTGGCCTCTTCTGTGCCAGCGACACAGGGTGGAGGAGTGACCTCCACATGCCAGGCCCTGGCCTTGCACAGGGGGCGTAGAGGGACACGGCAGTGAGTAAATACACGCACGGGAGCTGCCTGCGCCTGGGTGGAGGCCTGGAAGGGCCTGAGGGGCAGCGGTTTGGGGAAAGGCCCGAGGAGGGGAGCTTCGGAGAGGAGGGCGGGAAGGTGCCTGGGGAGGGACAGGAATCTGACGTGCAGGGAGGGCGGGGTGCTCTGCGAATGTCTGTTGACTGGATAGAAGTTCTGCTTCCAAGTTCTGCTTCTCTTGCTTCGTGTGAATTAGAGTCTTTGGGGGACTCGTTAAAATGTAGACTCCCAGCTCCACTGATTCAGGAGGGGCCCAGAAAGCTGCATCTGAACCCCCCCCCCCCCCCTCGGCTGCTGCGGTTGGTCCTGCCTGAGGCTCCGGGCCTGCCCAGGCAGCCCTTCCCTTCCAGCTGCGTCTGCCCACAGCCCCCTCCAGGCAGCCTGCTCAGCCTGGTGCTGCCCTGCCTGCAGCCTCCGAGGTGTGAGGCCTGAGAACGCCTCAGTCCCTCTGTGGGCCTCCCACCACCTGCAGCCCCAGCCAGGCCCAAGGAGGACGTCCCGGCTCTGCAGTCTCCGGGCACCGGGCTCCCAGGCCCAGGTCTCTGTCTGGCACGCAGATCCTGGGCCTCTGCACACCTCCCAGGGCTGGGAGGCGGCAGCAGAGGCACAGTTGTCTCTGAGATGCTGGGGGCCCTGGGGTCACACATTTATAGGAACCCCCTTTCCCGCTGCACATGGAGGGACCAACCCAAACACTCATGCCCCTCCCACACCCATGGCCCTGGGCTCCGGAGCCCCAGCCCCGGGAGGAAGCGTCCTCAGGCCTGCTGGCTGGTCCCCATTGGGGTCGGGCTGACAGGCCTGCGCATCCCCAACCTGGGACCACGGCCTCAGCAGCCCTGTGTGCAGAGGCTGTAAGGCCACATCGAGTCCCCCCTCCTCACTCACCAGGGCCCAGTGGGGGGGGGAGGCTTCTCACTCAGGGGCTGGTGGCTTCTGGGCGCTGAGCCAGACAGATGTTCAGACGAAGGGCAGCTCCCTAACCGGGAGCTTCAGGGCTGCGGTGAGGCCACGGCCTGCATGTCCCGGTCCCTGCTGCCCCCTGCTGCCCGGCGCAGGCTGGAGCGCGGTGCAGGCAGAAAGCAGGAGGCAGAGCCACGCTGGGAGGGTCTCTTACCCACGGGAACCTGAGGCTCGGAAGGGGCAGGGGTCGCCCCCAGGCCACACAGCAAGTCTCTGGGTAACGGCTCTCGACAAGGAAGACGCTGAACGGGCAGCACCCGCCTCTCCGGGAACGGGCTGGCAGGCTGTCTCAGCCCCACGTGGCCCTCGAGGTAGGAAGTGGATGGGGCTCCGCCTGGCGCTCAGTCCCCAGGGCGTCCCATGCTCTAGAGGAGGGGTCGGGAGAAGAGCGGAACCTCTGAGGATCCTGCGCAGCGACAACTAAAGCAAGAGGAACACGAGGGGAAACGCAGGAGTGGGAGGGACCACCTGCTTCCCTCTCCACGTGGGCAGGTCGGTGCCGCGAGAACGCCGACTCCCAGGCGCCCAGTGGGCTGGTCGGAGCTTCTGCGGAGAACAGACTCCCTCCAGGTGGGTGGGTGGAAAGTCGACTTGAGCGATGCGGGCGCCGCTCCGGGGGACAGAGCCTCCCTGGGTCTCGGACGCGGGCGGGAGTCCATGCAGACGTCACGGCGCAGGGGTTGGATTTTTCCAGAGCCACCTGCATCCCCCCCCGCCCCCCGCCACCCACTTGGCACCTGTTCACTGAGCTCCAAGCAAGTCCCCTGCAGACGAGCCAGCTGTTCTCGGGAGCCGGCTGTTCCCGCTGGTTCCCGCCCTGGTGGTGGGTCCGGGGGGACAGACCGTGGACCTGAACTTGCACATGAAGTGACTCAGCGGAGGGTCACTCGTCACGCTGTACCCAGCGCCTGAGGGGGACATTCGGGTGCTCGACGGTCCACAGCGCAGGCCTGGAACACGCACCCGACGGCCCTTCATGGATCCAGTTCCTCGCGGAGGAGACAGGCAGAGCTGGGATCCCACCTGCAATCCCACCTGCAGGGGGACACACACCTGGGAGGGAAACCTCGAGAGGCGCCCTCCTCCTCACTCTGGGAGCCACACGCCGAGCCGCTCCGGGGACGAGCAGAGGCTCGGGGTCCAGGCCCTCGGTCCTGCTCCGAGCCGCACCCTCGGACCTCAGCCTGGGTTCTCGGGTTCGGCGCGCGGCCTGGACTTCGGAGGGTGGGCGGTGGACGGATTCCTGAGGAGCCAGCACAGCACCCGCCTCAGGCACAGAGAACACAAAAGCCCGGCCGGGATTTCCTGTTTATTTCTCATTTCTGTACGTGATGGACATTAAAGTCTCAGCAATCATTTACAATAGTCACATCTCATGTTAAGAACACAAAGACAAAACTAAAGCATGAAGATTTCAAAAAGGAGGTTCCCATAATGCGTCACAGGAGTTAAAATGCAAAGATCGAAGACCCGGTAGTGGAACCGCTCGTACAGGGTGGAAGTCCCCGCGGGCCTCCGCGCTGCAGCACGAGGCAGCCCTGCCTGGACTGGGGCACAGGTGTCCAGGCCAGGACACAGGAGCTTCGTGACCTCGGCACTGCTGGCTGCGTGTCGTCTGCATCTTCCACGGCTGAGTATAAACACAGGCACAGCACAGAGCTGAGAACAGGTCTCACAAACTCACTACAGGTTTCCCAAACATCTTTAAATGTCATCGATGAGAAAAGTAATTCAGTTGCTTGAATTTTAAGTTTAAAAAAATTAAGTCTTTCCAGGGACTCTTAAAGCTCTCTCTACCACTAAAGCATAAAGTGGTGTCTCTCTCACAATCGGAGCGCTCACGCTGTTCTCGGAGACACAGCTGTGCACAGGGGCCTGGGGAGCTGGGGAGAGCTCGAGGACCTGGAGCCAAGCGTCCATCAGCCTGGGCTGTCACCTTGACCACGGCCCGACCGATGCCCGCCTCACCTGGCTTGCGAGGTCAGGTTTCCTGGCGCCTGTTAACCTGTCACTCTTCAGCCAGTTCCTGTTTGGGGGATTGCAGCTCATTCAATAAATCTCTGCCAGCGGCTCCAGCTTTTGAAGCGAAAAGAACTGCTCCCTGTTTAAAACCGAGGCTCTTCAAGCTCCGGGCGTAGTCTGCGTACACGGCGGAGACGAGTCTCTGTGAGCCGCAGTCAAGGAGCTGAAGGCGGCAGGGCCCAGCCCCCGCCCCCAACACCCAGCTTCCCCCGTGGGGGAGAACCGGCTCCTCCCACCCACAGGCGCAGAGGCAGTGAGGCCACTCCTGGCCTGGCGAGGGCGTTCCCACCCGTGACCTCCCCACACAGCACCAGCAGAGCCCCCCATACAGCCCTGCCCAGGCGGCGCGCCCGAGAGGGGTCTAAACCCACTGGTCCACTGCTGCCTCCTCAGCATCACCACCGGCAAAGGATATCTGTGTCCGGGCCGACCTCCAGGGCCCCGTACTGGAGACAGGCCTCCACGAACAAGGCGGCTCGATCGAAGTATCTCATGCTGCTCGACAGAACACACAGGTCAGGCCGTCACTCACGGCCGCGCCAGGCTCACCGGCGCCTTCCTAAGCCGGGCTTCCGAGGAGAGGAGGGCACCGGGCCCTCCCCCGCGCCCCCTTCCACTAACACGGAAGAAGAGAGCAGCAGCCGAGACACAGAAACCTCCAGGGACGGGACAGCAGGCTGCACCGCTGTCCACACGTACCCTCTCCCTGCACTGACCTCCCCCGCCTCCTTCCTCTGAAACACATGAAATTTCCATCATGGGTCATGGGCACCGCTCCTCAGACTCTCAGGGCGACCCTCCCACCCCCCACGCTGTCCCCTCCCCACTGCCCTCGGGCCTGCCCCTCAGGTGCTCGACTCAAAGCTGAATGTGCCCGAGCCTCTAAAGACTTCTCCGTATTCTTCTTAAAGAGGCACCTGTAGGTCTGACCAGGACAGGCAGGAATAGAGCACAGCTCCCAGAGCAAACGAAGGGTTAATAGACATGGCCCTGCCCTGGCCGGTTTTGCTCAGTGGACAGAGGTCGGGCTTATAGGCCAAGGGATCCCGGGTTCGATTCCAGTCAAGGGCACGTACATTGGAATGCA